TAACAAAGCACAAATTTGTTTAAAAAATTATAGGAAGACGTTCATCGAGCTTGGTAAACGTGTCGTGCACAAATCCGAATATTTTTCAACTGAATTTCTCGCGAAGCATTTCAAAATTGCGTGAGACTTCACGATGAAGAAGAGAGTGGATCAATCAAGAACTTGCCCCGTGATGTTGCCCCGCGTGGAGGACTTAGAGCACAGTGTTCAGTGGATCAGCTTGGCGAACGACATCGACGATTTGGAGAGACTGCGTCACCGAAGTAAGCCGGTGATACGTCGCGACAAGCGAGGCGAGAGACACGCTTATCGAGCTTCAATGCCGGAAATGCAACGGACGTGCACGATGCACTGCAACGATGATCGCGACGCGTCGTCGCAGAAAATGGACTACCTCGCGGATTACCTCGAGCCGAGGAACTCGCGATGGAGCTGGAAGCCGCGGACGGACTTCGAGCGGGAATACTTTTACAAGGATTACAAGGATTATTACTACGGCGATCCGGACAAATGCTGCGAGCCCAGCTTCCACGAGTCCCTGCGAGATCGGAGCGGTCTGCGAGAAGCGCGACGTCCTTCCGAGAGTCCCAGCGCGCGCTCGTCGACGCGCTACGCCGCGGGACTCGAGAGAGAGCATTACAGCGACAGCCGAGAACGGCTGCACGAGATCTTCGAGCACAATCGATATCTCCGACGGTTGTTTTTCGCCGACACACCAGGGAATTCTCGGCAGGACAGCCACGGGTTCGCCAGGAGCCACGGTAAAAACAATCAGGAGACGCCGAGGCGCTACATCGGCTTCGGTAGCACCGAAACACTCACCAGCCAGAGCAATCAATCGTCCGTGAGCAGCGTGAACGACCGGAAGTCCCGCGGGCGGACGACGCGTAGCCCGGAAGAGGAGGAGGAGGACGTGTTGACCGAACTCGTCGGCAAGAGCAACGTTCTTTCGTCTCGCGCGGAACGTAGAAACGACGCCGCAGCGCGGAGGGACGTCAAGGTCCTCGTTAACATCCTGCCCGGCAGTGAGATACGACGTGTCGACGAGGCGAGCAAGGAGGACTCGCGTGTCATCGAGGAAGCCCGATTCCGCAACGCGACGAAGAGAATGCACGACAAGTCGAGTCAGTGCGGCGTGACGGATGACGAGATTAATCGCAGCGCGTGGCGTCGCGTGAGCAAGCTTCCGGAGTACATCTTCGGCGCCGCCGCAAGAGCCGATCTTCAAACTCGAGAGCGCAGAAGTTTGGCCGGCGATCACGAGAGACTCGAGCGGAAACGATTCTCGGACTATGAGACTCTCACTCCGAGATTAGATTCCGTTTTGACCGATGTCGGCGACGACAGGGGCTACCGAAACGTCCGCGGGTCTCTGCCGAACCTGGCGATCGCGAGGCAGAACCTGGACGAGCCGCTCTACGTCGCCCGAGTCGCGGTCAATGTTCCCGAGTCATTCGGATCGTCGGATGATTGCCGGCTCGATCGCCACGTCGCGAGATCGCATCGCGGGCAACGATGCGAAGAACGACGCGAGGGGACCTCGACACGCTCGATCGGCCGCGGACAATCGGCGACGACGCATGACGCGCCGTTCTCGTCCGAACGCTTGACCCCACGATCGGGGGTCAAGGCGGCTAGAATACCGCCTCCCTTGGACCTCAGCGCGGTGAACGAGCAATGCGAGCGCATGGAAGCGGCCGAGAAGCGGCACCTCAACGATTACAGCGTCGACGTGGCGATCCTGCGCAGCCACGAGGACCTCGTGGAAGACATGTTGGCCGCTGGAAACGAGCGAGCGATCAAGAACGTCGTCAGGAATGTGCGAAATGCCCGCCGCGGACGGGACGACCGAAGGACGCAATCGTCGTACGAGCCTCTGCGCAAATCCTGCGACCTCGCTCTGGTCGACGAGCTCCAGTCGCCGCAGCTCGTCAACAATTGCACGAGCGATACGCGATCGGTGGATCCCGCCTTGATCGAGACGCCGCGACGCAGGATCGACGCCGGCCGCCGTGACCGCGCCACCAGCCCTTTGTTCGATCCGATTGGCGGACCGCACGCCGCCGGAAGCGCGCTTCCGTCTACGGTCTACGGACCGATTCCGTACAGTCAGTAAACATGCACATAATTTTCCTGAAATAATGCTCTTCCTGCCGCGCGTAAATAGCCGCGCGCGACTCCGTTAGGATTGCCTCGGCGTAGCTGTTGTTGGCGTCGATGTGGAAAGGAGAGAGAGATAGATAAAAGCGGGTGGCGCAGATTTCATGTTCTGGAACCGAAGTTTCTTTTCCGAATGTTACTAATTTCGAAAACATCATACGATCGGATTATCCGGTGAAAACTGATTTTACTGAGCGCGACACACCTTAGCGTGCGTTTTTCTCACTCGGAAATGTCAATTAATCGATACTACAAATTCGCGCAAGATAAAAATTAAACATCGCGCTCTTATCTGAAAAGTAACACTTTCGCGAATGACAAATTGTTACAATGACGAGAAACCAGCTTCCCACGAAAGAGTCTCTGGAAGCGTCAAGAATACAGAACGGTAAAATGGAGCGGAATTATACGAAGAGAGAATCAGATAAAAGATAATAAGACACCGTAAACAAAAAAGAAATAGACTCGGCGGAGGAGGCGCGAGAAAGAGAGAGGATCGATCGCGTGAGAATCTCGTTCGATGAAAGTAGTGAAAGGCGCGGCGCGTTCTGAGAGATTGAAATTCGGTTTCTCGTTTCGGCATTTATGATGAGCGCACTTCGCGCGCTCTCCGTTACATGCTGACAAATTGGGTTACACTGATGTATACCGTCGGGTGGAATACTGTCTGATGAAATGAAAATGAAGACCCAACAGTTTCACCAACAATAAGATGAGAATGAAAGTATGTTATTAAATCTGCTCGAAAAAGATTCTCATTTTTCGACGCGTGTGGATAATCTTTTCTTTTTTCAAAATAATCAGAAGAAAAAAGCTCTTTGATTAGAAATCAATAAACAAGAGTTATTGATAATAAATCTTGATAAATATTTTAAAACAATTTGACTTTGAAATTGGTTTCTTGATTAATATTAATGACTATTGGTTAATCAAAAGGTTTGCAAATCAACAATCGCATTTGTCTGTCTAATAATTTATCGCGATACTTTCTTTCCTCTTTTTTGTTATTCCGTATATTTTATACTTTTTCGTAATTTATTTCTCGATATTTTTTGGCTATTCGGTAAACAGCGGAAATGCACATTTCGCAACTTGTCCGGAAAGTTCGTTGCATATTAACGAGTCTGCTGTTCCGTGACGCATCTGGCTTTCGCCTAAATGCATCTCGCGTCGGCGGCATCGTCGCGGCTGCGCTTTAACCGCCAACGCTCGCAAGCTGCATCCCGTTCTTATCAGTCGTACGGTCTCGCTGCAGCCCGACGCACGCGAGCGCATTGTTTATGCGGCACGCCGCCGCTGCATCGCGATAAACTCTTGTCATTATCCCGCGCAGCGCGTATACGAGAGCAGGTGCGTGCTCCGCGAGCTCGTCTAAAATATAAGGCTTCGCGGTCTTCGTACGCGCGATAAGAGGCGCGAGAGAAGCGTCACGCGAATCGATGCATGCTCGTTAGTTAACTTGGAGTTTCGTGTTCTCGCATAAATAAATAAATATGGTCCGCGCAAGCGCGGCGCTGAGCTACGCACAAGATTTTCCAACGGCAAAAACATTGTGTGAGCATCCGAGAGATATCCGCACATATTTCAGCACAATTATATAATTATGTAATCTCGCAAACCGGTGTAATGCGCATTTGTACTTGAGATTTATTTAAACCGCACCGCGTGATCGAGTGTAATCAAGCATTGCGTAAAATTACCGTTCAGAGACCGTGACTAGGTTTTTTTGTCGTTTCGCCGGTCGACGACCGCTTGAGTATCGTTTCTCTTCGCGAAGAAGCCATACGTTCCGGCGGAATGAGCTAAACAAGTGACGGACTCGATGTGGGTTAAGCTGCTCGTCTCGTACATGTGATTCAATCTTTCTCTATAAAATTTGTAGGACGGGATATGATCTTCGCATGCTCTAGTAACTCCGTCGTACTCGAACGTCAGATGCGTGTATGAATACATCTATCGCGGTATCAAGATATGAAATCTCGCTACCCGCGAATTTGATCTCGAACGATATTTTTATTATGTTCGAAGTATTGTGTAATAAGTATTTCGCATTTTTTCGCGCAGCACGCAACGTGAAAAAATCGTGATACAAGTGGAATTTGATTACACTTCGACAAACGAATATTTTTACTTTGTCCGAGGAAAAAAAAGTAAGCAGATTTACACAATCCAATAACATAACATTAATGATCGCGAAGAGAGAACTACGATTAACCGAAGAATGGTTACGCGATACTTTTTCTTGCGCGAAAAGTCGTGTGAGGTATTTTTGAGCCCATTAAAAATACCAACAATATATTGCGAATTACAATTTATGCGTGAATGTAGATTTTTTTTAAAGAAAGAGAGACTAAAAAATGAACAAGTACATTAAGCGGCTTGATATTATAGTGATTGCGTGATCTAGAAAACTCCCGCTCTCTCCGGATTAAAAATAGAAAATAAGGATTGCGCTGATCACGTCAGCAAATCGTCGCGCGCGAGTCGACGTCAAATGTATGCCATCATTTTTAATAATGACCTCATTGAACGAGACGCTTGTGTGATGAGGACGATTAATTCGATGAAATGGCACGTGTCCCGAAGCTGCGCGCCCAATAAAACGCACGGACGGTCAATCGAATAATTGAAACCGAAATTAACAGCTCGTCGCGCTTCTGGCCGCGAGTTGGGATTTCATCGGACCGGATTGCCTGCAAACGCGCAAATGCGCGGGAGTCCTGTGCACAGCGTGTCCCGATAAAATATCGAAAACTCTGACGAGCGGAACGAGCGAAGGTTGTTCCGTTTCGCGGGGCCGATCGATCGATAGCGATAAACCCGCGCTTTGTTTGCTGCAGAATCGCCGAGGCGTTATGTGGAGGGTGAGGTGACGATTCACTATCGCTCGCCAGTGCGTACAGAGGCGAAGGAGCCGCTGAGCGAGGAGGAGCTCGCGCGCCGAAGCGCGGAAAACATGCGGCGCGTCTACCAGGAGGAACGCCGGCGCAAATACCTCCAGGAGTTGCACGACATCGACTCCCGCAGGCACACGGACAACTTTATGTGAGTGCAAAGAATTTCTGTCTCTTGAAAAAGGAAAATTCGAATCAAAGAGCGACACACACTTGGTTGGACGGTTATTTTTATGCAAAGAACAAAAAATTCCTCTGAATTTTAACCTACAAAAGATACTTGATTGAGTACTTTTACAGTAAATAATATTTTCGAGGGTAACGTTAATAACATGTGGCGAAAGGCATGTGTATCTTCAGCTCGTTGTGTCGCCGTAAACATTTCCTGCTATTCATTGCGTAACACGTTTGTGCGTCGTGAGCTATTTTACGCGGGCGTCACAATGAAAGCGTAGGTGAACACGCAGGTAGAACAACCGAGAGATCGTTCATTGATGTTTTCACAGCAAAAGTCGGCCGTGGGCTTTTCGCGATAGCAAAATAGAAAGTCTCGGTCGTTATTTCGAGACTTTCGAAATTCAAGTTTTATCAAGCTCTCAATTGAAATCATCGGGCATTCGACCGTAAATTAGTAGCCAGTTTCTTATTTTACAATTTAAAAAGAATTTAAAAGAAGTATATAGAAATTTTGAAGAATGATAATGTGGAAAATATCGAAAAAGAATCCGTCTTCAATTTTCAATTTCTTCTAAGTGCACTTCAAACCGCAAGTACTCGATAATCATCGCAATAATAGAAAGAGTTGGCGTTTGCTCCGAGCAAACAGAAAGACAATCTCGCGTTTGCCGTGAAACCGTTCCGTTTCGACAGTTACGGCGCAATTTCAGACCCTCGCAGAAGTCGCCTATACCTCTGAATCGCTACGACGACTTTGTGGACGATCTGAGCCAGCGCAGCCGATCCCAAGATCAAACACCGGAGCCGCGTTTGGTAGCAAGGGCGCTCTACAATTTCGTCGGGCAATCGTCACGGGAGTTGACTTTCCGACGCGGCGACATCATATTCGTTCGACGACAGGTGGACAAGAACTGGTACGAGGGAGAGTACAATGCGATGATCGGACTGTTTCCCTCCAACTATGTCGAGGTAATCACTCCCGGGTGTCTAACTTTGAAATTATTGATGCAAGAAGTGAAAGTCGGATGCTTGTGTAAAATGCGTCATCATAATTTTGCTAATTTTAATGTTTTGCTTTGATACAGATTCTACCATACGATGGCACCATGCGAACGACACCGAAGAAAGCTCACGAAGGACAGGCGCGGGCCAAATTCAACTTCATCGCACAGACCAATCTTGAATTGTCTTTGGTGAAAGGTGAGCTGAAATTTGCATTTTCTAAACTCGTCAATTGTTTCAATTCTATTTTACAACGAAATCTTATCTTAAAAGTTAAATTTTTTAAATTTTTTTGAAAAAATCGAATGTTTCAAATTTGTCTTGCAAAATCTTGCGTCAAAAATCAAATTTTTTACATTTATTTCAGTAAAATTTTAACTTGTTGGAATGAAAATGTAAATTATTTTTTTTGCTTTGTCGTTCACAGGCGAATTGGTGGTTCTGACGCGAAGAGTCGACGAAAATTGGTACGAAGGACGCATAGGAAACAGGAAAGGAATCTTCCCGATCTCTTACGTTGAAGTCATTACGGAACCCGGACATCGATCAGGTAACTTAAACGAGAAACTAAATTATTAGGGTGCGATCGAATGTCGAAAGTGTACCATCGATCAAGTGTCGAGTCGACAAAGTTCGAATGAAGCCGCTCTGTTGTTTCAGAGACGCCGATTCAGAGTAAACCGGTCGCGTCTCCGGCGGCGCACAGTCTCTTAGCGAACGGCTCGTCCGGAGGAAAAATGAGTATGGGACCCCATCATTATGTGCCGTCCATCCCGGTCAATATCAACACAACCCAGCCCCATTATAATTCACTGGTAACTATCGCACGATCTCTCATATTACGGCATAATTACTCCAGCCGCATGATTGAATCCTGTCGTAACACCTCATTATAATTCGCGGCAGAAGCCGCTGTTTGCCGAAAGGCGGTTCTAATCAAGCGAAAGCGTTTTAAGTTGCACGCGTAACAACAACGGTCTCTTGAACTTTCAGCCACGCATGGGAGGGAGCAAGCTGCACATATCGCAGCTCAGCGAAACGCTGCACATCGAAACGCATTCGGAACCAGTCCCGTAAGTTCGCGATTTACTCAAAATTTTATTTGTTATTTCAATCAATTTGGAAACGCGTTGCGGAACTCGTATGCAATTTTCTCGACAGATATCGAGCGCTGTACAATTACAAGCCGCAGAACGACGACGAGCTGGAGCTGAAGGAGGGCGACACGGTGTACGTGATGGAGAAGTGCGATGATGGATGGTACGTTGGCTCCAGCCAGAGGACCGGTTACTTCGGCACCTTCCCGGGCAACTACGTGGAGAAATTGTGAGGAAGGCCGATGGTCCAGGACTTGAACACCGCGCGGCGTGTCAAGGCCCAGGATAACTTTCACCAAAGCACTAGGCGGAATCGTTAGAATAGACGCCGAATTTCGGCAGCGTTTAACCCGATCGCCGATCTGGCTGCGTCGATCGTAAAGATTTTTGCAAATTTTCACTATGACCTCTAAGTTCTTTCTGGATTGATTATTAATTATAACGCACATTACGATTATAGTAAGTGTTTATTATTGTTTCAATATTTTTATCCGACGCGCAACACACTCGAAGATTTCGACAATTGGCGTCTTTTAAATTTTTTACGTTATTTGATAAATAATTTTATTCTAATTCTACTCGAGAATGTAAGATATTTATTGATTTTTTTTCGAAATTTCCGCAAAATGTTACGACACAACGAACGGGTTTCTAATTAAATCCACGCGAGTGCCCGCGTCGCACGAAAGCGCTCTTCGAGTTCAACGAATGCGATTAAAAAGTTTCGCGCAACCGCGATATTATCGTTCGGGACGATGTGTAATTCGAAAAGCGAGAGGGTTAAACGTTCAGAGCAGGAAGTAAAGAACGTCACAAGAGTCTTCCTTTTTGGGTCTAGCGACGATGTTATCGATTACGCAGTTAGGATAAGTACCACACCCTGTCAGTGTTTGCGACGTGGTGTAATAGAGCTTTCATATGATCAGAATTATTATCGGTATATCGGCAAGCCGTCGGCATCTAACATTGATCAGCAATTCTCTTTTGCAATTTAACATCACGTCGACCATGCGATGTGATAGCCCCGCGTTATCAATATTCAGAGTACCAGAAGTAACCGCTGATCGTATCAAGGCCCTTCCCGGCGTCGGATTTACCAAAAAATTTAGCAAGATAGTTCGCTAGGATACGCGAGTTTGTAAGTAGTGTACGATATAACGATTAACTTATTGTTATTGCTGCTCCTGACGACAGCCAGCTTCACTCAGATGGATGTCGTCAGACACATTTGGCAAATGGAGTTTCGCGATGCGTCAAGAATCATCGAACAAAAAGTAAAAATACGTAAGACAAAAAAAAAGATACGACATCGAAGAGTTTGGAGAATCAGATAATTAGCTTGAGATTTTCGGGCGGCTATTTTCCGAGATATGGATTTAGCGCGCGGAAGCTTGTGTTTGAATTCGAGAGAAGCGGCGAATGGCGGTTTTTCCCTCTAATTTCGGTATTGTAGATAAAATCGGCCACTGTTATTGTTGCATTCGTGAGTGTTTCGAGACTAACGGACTTATAATTGAAAGTTTGCCTTCCTAAATTAATATTTTTGTAAACATTATTTGTACCCAGAGTTATATATAAATATACAACATATAGAGATTAGAGATATATCTATATATATATATATATATATATATATATATATATATATATATATATATATATATATATATATATATATATACATACATACATATATATATCTATATACATACGCATACAGATATCGTATATTGTATATCATGCGATAATATATATAATATATCATGAATAATTAGTACGTACACGGACGTTGTCACACACAGGCATCACGAAAATATGTATATAGGTACATATACATACTGTAAACTCTGCAAACAAATGCGATGAAGGAATCGCCGGCTTTCCTTGCGACGCGAAAATATCGACGAGAACAATGCGATAGCATCCGAGTCGCGTTGATCTTTTTTTAACGTCGCTTTACCACGACGCACGATCGCCTAAGCGTTATAATGACAGAAACGAGCGCAGTCGGAGAAATCAGACAATACTATTACTACAATAATTATAGAGGAACGGAAAAAATGATGTGAAAAGGGCATTATACAGGCGCCGAAGTGTAGATCCGAAAGTGGTAGATGTGATTTTTACCTTTGAAGGAAGCCAACAAAGTTGCGAAACCATTTCCTTTCAGTGTTTCGTGTCCTTAGCGCACATTTAAGCGGTAAAAATCCGGAACAATTGTTTGATTTTCCTACAACGCAATAATTAAAAAGTCTAAAAGCTTTACGAATATTTTACTTTAATTCCTAATATTTTATCTCTCCATTTTATTATTAAAATGGCAATAATAAATTTTCTCTCGTAGTTTCAAGAAACATGAGATTTCTTATATTTGCATCTAGATAGCGAAATGTACCGCTAAATGTGCGGTGAAAATACGAGGCGTTTGCGTGCATCGAGAAACATTGCGTCTTGCGTGCTACGCGAGTTTGTGCATACACTCTCTTGCGCATATATCCACGTACATATCCCATTAAATCGTAAGACAGACTTGACTTACAATCTCGAGTTATCGGAGTGAGATCCGGGAGATCGTTAAACTTGTGTAATCCAGTCGTTTCTCTTATTGTAACTTTTGTAACAAAAAAAGCAGTGGTTCTCCAGAATTCCTCTGGGATATCTAAACTGTGGTACACGGAGTACTGTGCGTTGATGTTACAACACGAGTTTCTTTCATTTCAATTGCTGCGAAGTCTCGAGAAAGTTATAAATATTTTCGCGGCACAACTTTCGCATCGCACGAAAGAGATTAATATATGCGAGCAAATTATCAAATTTAATTGAGATTTATTTTTTTATTCGAGTTTAACTTTGACGATTTTAACTTTTTAATGATAATAATATCGGAAATTCACTTACAGGTGTAATATCACTCTTTCGCAATATTAAATATTTGTCTATGGCGATAATATTTTTGCTTGATATGAAATTGAAATTCATTAATTAACAATTCGAATTAGCATGTTTTTACAATTTTAATTCGCGCTAATGACGCTACTATGTATTATATATTATAGATGCAAATAAAACCTAGTCCATTACTAAGATTTGTTAGCTCACAAGACAAATAACTTACCTTAAGACAGAACGCAACAGCGCCTAAAGTAAATGTCACTTTTCTTACCCGCATTTCTATTTTTCGCTCCTGCTCGTTTCTTTATCCGCAAACATATATTTGACTTTAGAACAGTGAAATTTAAACTTCTACTTGAGAACAATATTTTAACAATAATATTTATTTTATTTTTAATAGTGCAGCTAATGAGACAATTTGTGTTTACGATAAATAAAGTTATCAGAATTAAAGGTACATATATGCGTTATTTCGAATGCAATCTATTGCCACACGATATATAATGGTTGCACAGAAATACTATCTGAATATAGATCATTGATTACTGGAAAGACGCAAGCACGGTAAAATACGACACCGACGTCTGTATGACCTTTAAAATAAAAATGCAGAATTTTTAAACAATACTGTAGAGTTTTATATTATAAAATTGCAATATTTTTCTTTACCGTAGTAAAGTTCTTCAAAGAAAAAATATAGATTTTGCCGGCGCTCAGAAAGTTCGGTTGCAGGCTTCTTCTCATTATGAGCAGCAGTAACTTTTGCGATTTCACAGGTATTTCATACCAGGAGCAGTTATATCTGCAACATTTATTTCTGCAGTGATTTGCACATTTCAATGATTATCGAATCGCTACGTTTCGATCGCAAATCGATCGTTAAATTATATTGGGTTTTATAAGTAATTTTATATTTTTAAATAATGATATTATTTTTTTATGTAGCACGCCTTTACAAAATCGTGCGGGACTTGATTACAACTTCGAGAAACGAATATTTTAATTTACATGTTAATTAAACCGCGCTTTGCCCGATGAAAAAGAAGTAGACGGATTTATTTAAAAAGTCAGAAATTACTTATTACACAATAATCCAATATATTTTGCAATTAAAATCGTCGCCATACATCTTATCGCACATTTGTAGGCTATGATCTATCAGTTTTTGGCCTTGCAGACTGAAGCAGAATATATTAATCAATTGGCTGATGACGAATGCTATGTACCGCGCCGCTTCCATGATATCGTCCATTTGCATCGCAACCTCAAACGCGATAAATTTTCATTTCTTGCACGCCATCGTTAAGTAGAAACATTTATATGATTTTCAAGAGATGCGAATGTTACAAATTGAGTGCAACATTTCTGACAATTAAATACATACTTGTAGTAAAGTAATGCTCATTCCTATGGTGACCATCCCTAGCTGTATGGCGAAGCTCAACGAGAAGGTTTCCTCAAGAAGCTCCGCAAATCTACGGTAAATAAATATTCTGATATTATTAACGCTTATTAAAAGTTTTCTTTCAGATATTTGTTATTTTACATGCATTTTTTTGTAAATACGATATTACACACTCACTGTAAAGCTCGTCAGTGCGCACTCATGGAGGATGCTATTTTTTTATTGTACGTGGAATCTAGATTACTATTAATTGCGTTGACATTTTTATCGCGTGCTATGTTCTCTAGGCGAAATCTGCAAGCATTCAAATAATCCAATTTATTTCGATATAATTAAATAATTCGTTTCTTCAAGTATTTCCTATTATATAAGGTATAAACGAATTGCTTGAACTTTCTTGCAAATTATAAATTGTATAAAGCAAATTGTACACAGAATTGTGAATTTATTATATTCTAGAATTTTCTTTAAAACGTGAATCATCCTCACCCAGTCATAGCGAAGATGCTGCAGACGTGCTCGATGTAACTTAGGAGCATGCAATCGTGCGCAAGCAATCCGATTATACCCACTTCTATGCCCACGAATGTGTGGAAAAAAATGTAGAAGAAATATTCTCTCTCGTCGACGAAATAGTACGTTTCGTGAGGCATCAAGATGGGGCGGGATTCGTTAAGTGGTAAGACGACGTCCAGTACAAGAGGCATAAGGGTGGCGAATACAAACAGAATAGTCGTTATGATGCAATACGCTGCAACAAAGCATACACAATTGTCTATCTGTAATAATAATTACAAAAAAAAAGAAAATTTTATTCTTACACGAATACATCAAGGAAATCCGTCTCCCGTTTTCGCCATACGACTTCATGATTTCGTGCTCTTCCCAGGTCTCCAGATGTTTCCAATCGTAAAGCAGATAATCAGTGAGATCTTTGATCTAGAAATATTCGATAAATATTAAATGTTATTAGCTAGCTTTTGCGGACTTTTAGATGTGAGATAAAAACTACAATTATTGTACAAAATAGTTGTAAAAATGAAAGAAATTATTTGGTTCGATTAATATATAATGCAAATATTTGTAATAGAACGTACGTTATTGCTCTTAAATTGGCATGTGTACAGCTTCACCATAATCATGTTTGTAAATAAGTACGACGGTGTGGTGCTCAAAATACATTGCACATCTCCGTCGCAATGAATGAATTTGCATATCTAAAAAATTAATGTCATTAGTAGATTATGGAAAGCGTTAATTGGCAGATCACGTTTTAATTAAACAATCTTTTTGTATGATTTAGTCGTTATTAGATGTTAAAGCAGCTACAGCGGGTAGTAAGAATTTAACGAAGATCGTGACCTGTGGAATAATCATGGAAATCATGTACACAGTCACCAAAGTTAATCGAAATATCTTTGCTCTTCTTCTCTGATAAGGCCACTGGCCGACAAATGATAGCATCTTCTTTGTGATACCGTAATAATGATCATGCAAGGATTCCATAGTTCTTAGAAGAATGCTCTCCCCTCGGCAATACGTAGCTGCCGACTGAACTATCCCTCGATAAAAAAAATTAATATTTCAGCAGAGGATGGGGAGCATATGGATATTACACGGCGGAAGTTTTTCACGTAGCAATTTCGCATGTCACGTTGCACGATGACCAATAGGCAGATACATTTTATAGACACGGTAGCAGTTTCCCATTTTACAGCTAAATATACATGCAGGATGAAGAAGAATGATGATTTCTCGATGGGCAAGAATATAATTGCACGATTCAAGAAAACAAGTTCTTTTGACAGCGTGGTTATGTGTATTTAGCACAAGTAGTAATCAACTTTTTTTTAGAAAGAAGATAAAGTGTGCGTTGTAAATAATTTCACTGCTGAGTGACAGCAGAGAAGTGAGAAAATTACATTTTTAGTGCAAAATGGAAGAAAAAAAGAAGCTTTACAAAACGGATCGTTGCTTCGATCCTTTTAAATTACCTCATAAAAGAGGACAAATTTACCAACTAAGGAAATCACCGATAATACTTCTAAGGAAGTGGTGGCACCGTCTTGTTGAAAATGAAAAACAAAATTTAAAAAATACAATTACAAACAATCTTTCCAGATCGTTTCATTTCTCGTTCTGGCAGTTTTGATTGGTCTCCAAGATCTCCAGATTTTTTTTGTGAGGCTATCTCAAAGGAAAAGTGTATGCGAATCATCCAGTAACAATTGATGAGCTGAAAGATAACATTTGTGCAGAAATAGCTCAAATTTCCACTACTTTATGTGAGACTTTGTCATGC